CCGTCTTGGCCCCCGGCACAAACCCTCCCGGAAGATCGGCGAGTCAGGATCGCCGGGCATCAAACACTCAAACTTTCTAGGTCGCGTTTAATGCTGCGGGCGCACAAAGCGAGCGACAGTGGATGTCAAGCAATAGTCGCCTCTTACCGCTGGAGCTGATTACGGCTGGAACCAACACTTTGGCACTACGTGCATCGTCTCCTGGGCCCTGGAAGGTGAGAGACGTTGAATTCTAAAATGAGGATAGGCACACTGAGACGGATAATACCCGGTAATGTTTACGAATTAGGTCGTCCATGTAATAAATCAGAAACCTTGTATTCTCTTCTCAGCCCTATGGAATACTCGCTAGTGAACCTTTAGCTGCGTCTTCTTTTGCGCAACGGCGACTGCGCAACGGCGACTGCGCATGTGCGTAGCGCGCCGTTAATCGGACAAGTGGTGTTCGTCTGATGTGACGGCTGTAGCGGGGAGCCCATGATAAGTAATTGCCCGAGTACCGCATCACCCACGAATTCACAAAACACTCTTTTTTTTCTCCCTCTCTGTCAGTCCATTTACCTGGTCAAGGCCGCCAAGATGGTGAAAATCGAGCCTTTTGCGGTGGAGCAATGGATGGACAAGTAAGTCCAGAACTCCGAATGAGCACCACGTAGTCTCTTGCTTATCATTTGCGCAGGTATGAGACTACACCCGGCGTGCTGAACATAGCCGAAACGTGCGCTGCGTCAGTCTCTGTCGAGGACCTGCAGTCCTTCTCCACGGATGTGACTGAACGCGCCAGCCCTCTCAACCTGTCGAGAAAGCTCACCTATGGTTCAATTCTAGGGTCGGACTTACTTCGGGAGCGCGTAGCCGCTTTGTATGCAGAGAATGCTGTCAAGCCATTGCCAGCCAGCAATATCTTGATCACGCAGGGGGCCATCGCGGCAAATTTCTTACTCTTATACACCCTGGTTGGTCCTCGGGACCATGTCATCTGTGTATACCCTACTTACCAGCAACTATACAGTGTGCCGCAGTCATTGGGTGCTGAGGTGTCACTATGGAAGCTGAAGGAGGAGAATGGCTATGTCCCGGACGTCAACGAGTTGGCCTCACTGGTCAAGGGCAACACCAAGATGATCATACTCAACAACCCAAACAACCCTAGCGGTGCGACCATACCTGAGCCCGTCTTGAGATCTACCGTCGAGTTTGCAAAAGCCCGCGACATCATCATTCTGTGCGACGAGGTGTACCGTCCATTGTTTCACAGCCTTCCGGATGGGGAGGCCATGCCACCCTCCATCCTGTCATTCGGCTACGAAAAGACCATTTCGACAAGCTCCATGTCGAAAGCATGGTCACTCGCTGGTATCCGCCTGGGCTGGATTGCATCGAGGGACAAAGGCATCATCTCCGCTGTGGCTGCGGCACGAGACTACACCACCATCTCCGTGTCTCAACTCGATGACCAAGTCGCTAGCTACGCTCTGTCTGATGCAGTGCGGCCGGCACTGTTGGATCGCAATCTGAGGTTGGCAAGAACGAACTTGCAGATGTTGCACGACTTTGTGCGCGAGCATGAGGGCGTTTGTAAATGGGTCAAGCCGACCGCTGGTACAACGACGTTCATCCAGTTCATGCACAACGGAAGGCCGGTGGATGGTGAGGCGTTCTGCTTGGATGTGCTGGAAAAGACGAAAGCCATGTTTCTTCCGGGAAAGAAATGCTTTGGCCACGACCAGGATTTTGCGGGCTATGTCCGTATCGGCTACGTCAATGAGACTGCTGTGCTGAAAGAGGCATTAGAGCGGCTGGGAAAGTATATTGACGAGAACTTGTCAGTGTGAATGGTACCGAGTCAACTTCCAAGAGCCTTCCTCGTTGTCAAGTCAGCTGCCATTGGTCAAAAGTGTCCGCCCAGGAAAGCTCAATATCACGGGGTTTGTAACGGGGCCTGTTGATTGGATTCCCTATCTCAATTGGGGTCGCTGAGATCAGTCAAGCGTTCTGGGCACTGTTGGCAGCAAACGCACTGCATATTCACTTGACTTTTTGTAACCTAGACGATCCTTGCGCCACAATCTTGCAAATATGCCGAATTGCGATGCATAGCTGCATAGGCAACTAGGCACTCGAAAGGAAATCCCAGAGTGTGAAACCCAAAGGTCGGCAGTGACGGTCATCACTGAGAGTGTGCTAGCCTGAAACTTAAAGGGAGATATCCCAGATCCAGCCTGCGGATCATTTTCCGGGGAGCCCAGGGAATTGGAAGGGCCTATCCCTGGCTAGGCCAGCCGCCTCAAATGATCCACTGTTTTTTTCCTCTTTCTTCGCCAACATCCCGAGCTCAGGGGCTGTATCGTGACTTCTTCATGTTCTTCTCTGGGCTCCGACTGCGCTTTGACTGCGCTTTATAATATTCAGATCGACATTTTGTCTTCCTTCTTTTTTTTCTTTCTACCCGTGCGAGGCATTCCGAGGAAGACCGGCTCCAACAAGACAACGCCCTTTACCAACAGCCCGCTGGGGACCGATTAAAGACCAAGGCTATCGATCCTTGGCCACTTTGCGTAGCGCATCCCAGCAAAGACTCCAATCACTTGGCTTTCTCTTGAATTTCGTAATTGTTTCTTGGTGCTCTCTCTTTTCTTCCTTTGTTCTGTCAACTCCCGGCGCGCATTTCGCGTCTCGTCCTGTCATTAATCAGAGGTCTTTCCTCATGACCCTCCACGGCCTGTCACCTAATCACAAAAGACTTGATCGGCATATGTGACGCTCTCTTGGTGCCAAGACTATTTGGACCTCGTCATTTAATACGGTCTTTACACCCGGGCTTTCTGATGCCCATTACGTTCCTTTGATCCTCCTTTGATCCTCCAACACATCCAGGGCGCAAGACTCTTTGCATGCAGGTGGTAGACCTTTAAAAGACAAATTGGTGGCGAGAGGTCGCGAGTGGGAACATTACCTACTCGCACTGCTTGCACACATTGCGACCATGTGGCGATCTGCTGTACTAGCTGCTGCTAGCTTCTCATTGCTGACTCCAGCTGTCTACGCAGCCGGTACCGTGCAGTGGGACATTTCAAAACCTTCGCATCCGAAGTTCGGCTTGAGAAAACGGGCGGGCACACAACAGGAAGTAATTGAGAATTCTCAGGCTAGAGGCGGATATTTTGCGACCTGTTCGTTGGGCACGCCGAGTCAGTATGTGACGCTGCAACTGGACACAGGATCTAGTGATGTTTGGATACCTTCAAGCTCGGCGAGTGTATGCGATGAAGATGCTTGCATGCTTGGTTCTTGTGCGTAACAGACCCTCCTTCCACTCGAACTTTCTTGAAGCTGATTCTAATTTCATGGTGCTGTAGTCACCTCTGACGACTCGTCAACATATAATGATCTAGGTGAGGTCTTCGAGATCTCATACGTGGACGGAAGTTTTTCCAAGGGCGACTACTTTACGGATACGTTCTCGATTGCGAACACCACCGTATCGAATTTGACGATGGGCCTAGGGTCTGACACGACCATCCCGTATGGACTGCTTGGGATCGGGTACTCACTAAATGAAGCGATTATTGGTACTAAAGAATCGCTTGGTGCGGCGTATCACAATCTTCCCGCCTTGATGATGAACGAAGGCATAATCGCTACCAATGCCTACAGCCTCTGGCTGAACGATCTGGATGCGAGCACAGGCAGCATACTCTTCGGCGGAATAGATACACAAAAGTACGTTGGTGACTTGACGAGGATTCCGATTATCAAGGACAACCTTACGGATCAGTTCGACTCCTTCATCGTGGCACTCACATCGATACAAGCTGTCAGCTCTAGTGGTATCGACAGCCTAACATCCCACCAGACACCCATTAATGTCGTCTTGGATTCAGGCACGACGCTGAGCTATCTTCCTACGGATATTGCACAGCAAATATGGGAGGAGACTGGTGCCATGTACAGCGCATCGACAGGCTTGGCCATTATTCCGTGCAGGATGCAGCGGAGCACGGGATACTTCAATTTTACCTTTGGGGGTGAAGGCGGACCTACGATCAAGGTTGGAATGGACGAGCTGGTCCTTGACCTCGTAGTCTCAGGTCCAGCGCCACAATTCACTTCGGGGCAGTATGCAGGCGAAGACGCTTGCGAATTCGGCATTCAGAACACGACCGGCACAAATCTTCTTGGCGACACGTTCCTACGCAGCGCGTATGTGGTGTATGACCTGATAAATAATGAGATCGGTATCGCGCAGACCGATTTTAATGAAACCGAGTCTAATATCGTGGCATTTCCGAGCCAAGGCGCTGTCATCCCGTCGGCCACACTGGCTTCTAACGGGACCTTGGCCACGTCGACAGCGACCTTCACAAAGCCTGGTTTTCTAGCCGAGACAGGGTTTTCGAACGGAACCAGTGGTGCTGCTGCCACGAGACCTCGGGAAGTTTTTGGACTATCGACTCTGGTATTGACCATGGCTGTAATGGGGGGAATCACTGTCATGTTATAATGCTGTCTCGATGTCTGATCCAGCAGCAGGAGGAGGATTCAAGCACGGCTTTATCTGTTTGACTTGCAATTTTTCCAGGAAAAAGATACCCATTGGCGTCAAGGCGTGGAGGTCTCATTCTGAAGATCTCCATTGGGAGCATTTCACGGCGTTTGTTTGGATGGGTTTGGTCACTGAGTATCAGTGAAATTGTACCATATACAGTACACGCTGGGAAACAGACCCTTGAAAATATGATGGCCTTAATATACATTCCGATTCACCGGAAATCAATATGTACTCACATTGGTACCCGCCCTACATACCTGGGTAGGTGTGTGTGCAAGTTGAGATGAACTAATGACCTCAGGATTTATCAGAGGCAGATCTAACATCAAGCCAGCCTCCTGGACCTTGTCACCTTCGTCTTCTCCCTTGTGCTCACCTGATCAATCAACTTCTTCAGCGGTAGCAAGCAAAAAAAAGAAGACGGCCACTGAGAACGCCAAAAAGAGAACTCGGATACGGGGAGTCGAACCCCGGGCTGGTGAGTACTTCAACTGAAATTGAGAGTCACCGATGTTACCGCTACACCATACCCGATATTTGAACGAGTATGTTCCGATTTGTTGTGATATGGGAGATTTTTGCTGGCTTATAACCATATGTGGATACTGGAAAAAAAAATTCGAAATTCTGTTTCTGTGACGGAGATTGCGCCAGTCGCGTCTATGGCGCTAGGCGGGCCGCTAGCGGGTCAAATGTGGGATGGTCCGATACCTACCTACAGGTATCTAAGTACCTACCTAGTCGGGGCTCACACCCTGGGCAGGCTGGGGCGTGGGGTCTTCCATGCCTGATAAGAGTGAGGGATGAGCTTTGAAAAAGTCGACTTTAATTCTGGTAGGTCCGTTTCCGAATTGGTGGATTGTAGTTGAGAATTGAGGAATGCTATGGTGACCGGTCAGCCATAAGTGAGATAGTATTATATATATTGTCTCTCAAAGATCATCAATGGAAGAAAAAAGGAACAAGTCAGGAGGCACGTTTTTGTTTTTAGCCAAGTGAATTTCGAGAATTCTGAAGCCTCTTTTCTTTATGAAGCTTTCGCCATAGTCTTTAACGCTGCAAGTCTCGAAATTCAACCATGTTCAAGTGCCTTGTCAAAATGCAAGAATCATGAGTTCGTTTCGTGGCTTTCTTCAAGACTGCTGCTTGATAATTTCAGATATCAAATACCTATAGGAATGCAATGTGCAAGAATCTAGATAATGGGACAGGGGACAGATTGTCAAGTGGCCAATCTAATCCAAACCAACGCATCACCGCGAAGTATTAAAAAGACAATGCTTTGCCAGGCACTTCGTACAAACTTTTGAATTGGGATGGCGCCGTACACGCATGGTATGAAAGACTGGGGACATGTATACGTACCGATTGAAGTGGTATAGTGACTGGAACTTTGGTCCAGACTCACCAGGTAGTCATCTCTTGAGAGCCCTCTGCGTGCTCTTGTTTGGCACGTTTATCTAGTCACTCATTCTCAATTGAATCAAACTAGGACGTATGATCAGTTCCACGGTTTGTGGCCTATCGAGGGTTAATTTAAGGTAGGGATGATGGCAAGAAGGAGAGGGCGAAACCTTAAATCTTACGGACCTGGACGACGGCGAGGGGTTTGGATATGGTTTTGATGGTGATTCTGGCCCAACAGGGGAGGAAATCGAGCCCCTTCTAGACCGTAAGGAGCGGGTAAGTAGTATACGGTGAGGGACAATTGACTGCCTACTCTTAATCAGTGTCAGTCTCTCGGGGCATCAGTCATCATTTGAAAGCTCACTTACCCTAGTTCAAGATGAAAGACCAGCGATTCTGGGTCCTTGTGGGCCGGTCTGGATGGAATGTCAAGACTGACCTCCTTAAAAAGTAGTCTAGTATATAAGACGTGCGGAACCGGCAATGCCAATATTAAGTAGGAGTGGAAGCCCATCACTGGAACGCAACACCTATAACTTCGTCGTAAAAGAGTGTCTCTCAGATGCGAAGGCCCAAGATCTGTGTCCTGCACCGAGTCAAAAAACGCCAAAACGCCAAAATACCACACATTGACAAGTGGCATAGCACCCAAGATCGCCGATTACTTCACAGGTGATGAGCTGATGACCTTCTGCTGCAAGTCAACTTTACCAAGGATGCACATAGATGGAGAATGGCGACATTCCAAATATCGAAGCATGCTCATTTGCATTGCTAATAAGAAGCCAATATGGAGTATCAGCTGAATATCGTGCGTCTTGGCAAGACAATGTTGAGGCACTGGCAGGCCATGGGCATGTTCCGCAGGCAACTGGAATACTATAAATTGGGAAGGTCCTCCTTGGACAACTGACGAGAAGCATATCAGCCTCAGCATCGACGGCACTCAACGAGACGACTCGAGTAAACAGACAACCAGACATCCACCTTCGCAGAAATTAGCCCATCATGAAGGCATCTTTCATCGCTTTGGCATTGCTGTACATATGAACCGCTCTCGGTACTGACATTCACCAGTTGTTGCAATACTGACATCGTTCCCAGATCCCAAATCAGAAGTTCTTTGGCCAACTGGTCTCCTCCGGGCGCAGCCCTAAGTTGGGACGGCCTCAACCAAATCAGTGTATATGGAGTCGATGAGAGCGGTCAGATCCGTGAATGGCAGTGGAAGGGTAGCGGCTCCTGGACTGGACCAAGCTATATCGGCGCTACGGCTCAAATTGGCTCAACGCTCGCAGCCGTTAATGATGGCGACAGTGTGAGTACATACAGCAGCAGCACCAGTAGCAATTCATTGGGAGGAAATTGCTGACACGTCAATCACCCCCAGTTGCGTATCTACTATCACGCTACAGACGGCTATCATAAGGAAAGAGTATTTCAGAACGGCTGGATGGATGGGGCCGTTTTCCCCTAATTACGTTCCACAATTGTGCGTTACGGAGGGCGGTGGAGTCAACAATTTGAAGGAGGACAGACTGGCGTAAAAAATGGCGATAGAGTATTGGGTGTTATGCGCTGCTTGTCTGAAGTTGACCCGTGCAGTTTATCATCTATTAAGTATACTATCGCCGCTGGCAGGGAAACTGACCAGGGCAGCTGACGGATGTTTTGGATGATTAGAATTGTAACACAGTCAATAGACCAGCATAGGCATTTGCATCACAGGGAGCAGACTTGCATAATAAGACGTATTCCTGACTGGCAGCAGATTTGAGTTTGGTAAAAGCAGTTTGTGAATGCATGACATTTGCCGGTTTCCGAGGCCGCTTGACAACCTTCCAGGTTCTTATCACGCAATTGTAACAGCGATACAACCATCGATATCGGCGGGAATATATATCTCGAAACTCCGGATATGGAAAAATGTCACTAAGACATTCACAGCAAACCAAAACGGTCATTCTCATAGTCGAGGCCTAGGGTATCGATCGAGCAATGTCAGGTAGTCCAGATATTGCGGCTCTTCTCCAAGCCCGGTACGGGTCACCACCGGCATGGCCAATATCGTCCACAATACACCCGACACCAGCTTTGGAAACCCTCCTTGCTCACCACTCCGTCCGCGCTTTCCTCAGCGATAAGCCTCTCCCCGATGGAACCCTTGAACTTCTCGTCGCTGCGGGCCAGTCAGCCGCGACGAGCAGCAATCTCCAGACCTGGTCGGTCGTGTCGCTGAGCGACCCGGAGATGAAACGCCGCGCTGCCGTGCTCTCTGCAGACCAAGCTTTCATCCACGAAGCACCTCTCTTCTTGATATTCTGTGCAGACCTACAGCGCCTGACTGCCGTGAGCGAGCTCCGCGGCACAGGAGGCCAAGCGCTGGAATATACGGAAATGTTCCTGATGGCATCGATCGACGCCGCACTCGCCTCACAGAACGTCGCTGTTGCTGCCGAGGCGCTGGGCTTGGGCGCGTGTTACGTTGGCGCCGTCCGCAATCGCCCACGCGAAATGGCGGATTTGCTTGCCTTGCCGGAACGTGTGATCGCGCTGTTTGGACTTGCAGTGGGTTTCCCAGATCCCCAGAGACCGGCTAGCGTGAAGCCGAGGTTGGGTATCGACGAGGTTCTGCATAAGGAGGGCTGGGGCGGAGGGCACGATGGGGAAACGCAGGTGGACAAGTTCAGTAAATACGATGATGCGTTGGCGAGCTTCAATGCAGGACAGAAGAGGGAAGGAGTCCCTGCGTGGACCGAGAGGTCAGCCAAGAGGGTAGAAGGGGTCAGCAACCTGAGTGGGCGACATATCTGGGGCGATGTTCTCAAGGAGAGAGGGTTTGACATGAAATGAAGACGTCGATAATGGTGACCAAAAAATGATGGACAAATCCATAGGACGTAGGAAACTTGCGGTCCTTCCCTATCCCAATTGCCTTTTCAATTCGACTAAAGAAGATGTTCCTTACGCTGCAGTTGTCCAAGATATAGAGACGCGGATAGAGTCGTGATTACCTAGGTGTGCAGGACTCTGGCGCTCGAGTAGCGGCAAGTGAGCTAACCATCTACTCGCTGTGCAGTACTTATGATAGCATGATCATGTCGCCTGCTAGCCGAAGTAGTCATAAAATTCGCTGAAATCAGTCATACTTTGTCCAATTTCGTGCCTGACGTTGGGTGCTGCATCGGCGCCAAAGATTTATTGCATGAGGCCGCTCAGAACCGGTCCTTGATGCCTCACTGGCGATGATGGCGATGACTGCCAATGAGCAAGCCTCGCGCTTCGCTATTATCTCTCTTTCTTACAAGTTGTTGATGGGTATTCATAAAAACTGCTTTGAGTTCGCGGAGCATGATTTGTGGTAGCATCCGTCTTCTCGAGCACGGCCTCATGGTTGCTGTTGCAGATGGGAACACTACTAGCCTTTCAATTGGGATGGGATAGGCCTCTGTGAAAGCTAAATTTGTGTAATAGTTGCTTTGGAAGTAGGTACTTGTCGATGGCGAACTTGATGGATGTTTCAAATGCTTGTATGCTAAGTGCCTGACGTATGGTCCCACGTCTTAAACCGCATCTTGGATTCCCGAGTCGAATCAAACGATTCTGTCAGTACGTAATTATGTATAAGTCGGACCATCGTAGGTCTCTTTGGGATCGGGAAGGAAGTGCGTCAATGGTAAAGGCTTTCGGGAACGACGACATGTTACACAGGCGTCTAAGCAGAAATAGCATCAGTAATTTGTAATTGGAATTTCCTCCCTCCCACACGTGTCCGCCACACAAGATGTGCATGATTCAGAAATAGGTTCCAAGGTTGCTTACCTACTGCAGTCGAGCCTGAAGAGCGAATTCGCCACTATTTGACTCTCCAGTACAGCCGATGGGCCATAGACGTCTAGGTAGGTAATCTCATAATGACCATAGGGCCCCATGAGTTCACTACTGGCAACAACACCCTTTGAGCATTGAAAATGAATATGTCTTGTTCAGACTGATCGGGGCACCGATTGATGAAGTCCCAGATTGAAATATGCAACTTTACGAAGAAAAAGAAAAGTTCTCTGAACAGAGGACGTACTTACCTATTTTCAAGGATCCTGTCCATTAAGAAGGATCATGCTCATACT